CTAGTTTTTAACGAATTGTTTTCTTCTATTAGATTTTGTACCTCCTTTTTCAGTTGGCCCATTTTATTTTTTAAGTAGTTCTTCTCTTTAGTGAGTTTTTGTGCCTCCTTTTCCATTTGTCCAATTCTACTTCTTAAGGAGTTGTTTTCTTAAGTGTACTTTTTCCCATTTAGCCAATTTTATTTTTTAAGGACTTGTTTTCTACAGTTAATTTTTATCCTTCCTTTTCCAACTCTTGACTCTCTCTTGCATACCTGTCATTTCTTTTCCCAATTTTTCTTCTACCTCTTTTTATTTGACTTTTGAAATCCTTCTTGAGCTCTTCCAAGAAGGCTTTTTGGGCTGAAGAACAGTTCATAATCCCCTTTGAGGTTTTGGATGTGGGTACATTCTGAATTTGTGCCTTGATCTTGCCTGTCCCTATAATAAGAATCTATGGTCATTGTTCATTTCTGCTTTTTTCTCATGGTGTTTGCCTATTTCTTGAATTTTTTAAAAAAAGTTAAACTCTTCTGCTGGAGAGCAAAGGCCACTGACCCAAGCTTCTTGTGCTGGGAGCCCCAGATCTGGTCACTGGCTTTGTGTGCTGGGAACTCACATGCTGGCAGTTGGAGGCTGTAGGGTTCTGGTAGCTTACCTGGTGCTGGTTTGGGGTCAACAATACTGGAGCTCTCAGGGTGGAGGTGGGGAGTCTGGCATCTGGGGGATGTCTACTCATTTGGTCCTAGCACTCCTTTCTTTGGCCCCTGCTCACCTGGGTCTTGCATAGGGATGTTTTGCTGCTGGAGGATGTCTGTCAGCCTGGAGCTTTGCCTCCTGGAGTTGTGCTTCCTGGAATTGTGCTTTAGGCACTGGGAGATTTGACTGTCACACGTGGTACTTTTCCAAGCTGGTGTTCTACTGGTTCCTTTGCCTGTACTGAGGTACTCAGGGGCTCCTGTTGTTGGCGCTTGCCTGCTCTATTACCCTGGGGCTCAGGATCTCCCCTTGGTATGCTGAGTTGGGGCTTGCCACTGGCTTGCTGGGTCTCCCCCCGTCCTGTACTGCTCCCCTCCCCCAGAACAAGAGAGGCATTTCCCATTAATTCCCCCAGGCTTACTAGGCTATGACACTGCTGTATCCCATCTTTCTGCTAGCTCAGCTGTTCCAGTTTTTTTCTTGGGGTGATATTTTCTGGGCTTTCAGAGGTGAATAAAGGAGATTGAGAGTGGCTTACTTTTTTTTTCGATCTTATCCTTTTATTTTTTTAAAATTTTTTTAAATTTATTTTTATTTTTAATTTATTTTTCCATATGCTTTTGAGTTGAAAATTTTTTCTCCCTTTTTCTCCCCCCCACCCTCCCCAAGATGGCGTACAATCTGACATAGGCTTTACATTTACATACCCATTAAACATATTTTCACATTAGTGAAGTTGTAAGTAAAAGTTAAAACCAATAGGAGGAACCATCAGAAAGATGAAACAAAACTCAACTTAAGGTAAAAATAGTGAGAGCGATTCGGCTTCCATAGTTCTTTCTTTGGATGTGGACAGCATTTTCCATCCCGAGGCCTCTGGAGATGTCTTAGATCCTCATAATGCTGAGAAGGGTTCAGTTTAACATTCTTAGTCATTGCATAATGTGGCTGCTATTGTATACAAAGTCCTCTTGGTTCTGCTCACTTCACTCAGCATCAGACCATATAAGTCTTCCCAGGTTTTTCTGAAGTCAGCCTGTTCATCATTTCTTATAGAACAAGAGTATTCCATTACAATCATATGCCACAACTGGCTCAGCCAGAGAGTGGCTTACTTCTTACTCCACCGTCTTGGCTTCCAGAAGCAGAAGTCCTGTTTAGAAAATTTCGTAGCTCCAGGATGCTAAGCATCCAGCTGGAGGGAGACTCTTTCTGAAATGCATGACTATACTGAAACATTTGAGAGTCATTTTGGGTTGGAAGGAGGCAACATGGTGCCCTAGAAAGAGCTCTAGATCTCTAGTCAAAGGACCTGGGTCTCTTCCAGCTCTAAATATATGAATCTATAAGGCAGTCTTTTTGTAGAAAATTTTTTTTGATGAATTTGTCTTTATTTCACATTAATTTCTCTTCCCTCCAGATTAAACATTCCTTTATGCAAAGGAAAACATATTTGATGTAGAATCCTTTTATCCACAGTCCTTATGTCTCTGCCATGAGAGAGGAAATGTTTTATTATCCATTCTTTACCACCTACTTGTGAAGCAATCTTGATGGAGGTTTGAAGTTAAGTGGTACCCCTAAGTCTATGATCCTAGGATCCCCAAGAACCCTGACAGTACCAATGGGCAAGCTCATTGAGCTGGGCAATAAACTCCACTCAGATTCATCTTCCTGAGGCATGACCAGTATGACTGTGTCTCCTCCTATTCAATAATAGTGCTGCCGTATCACCTCCAGGATCAAATATAAAATCATCTGTTTGGTTTTCAAAGCTTTTTATAACCTAATTCTTTCATACCTTTTCAGTCTTTTCACACCTTACTGACCTCTCTATACTTTGCAATCCTGTTACACTGGACTGGCCTCCGTGCTGTTACTCAAACAGTCCCTCTCCCTCCTCTGAGCATTTTCCCTGGCTCTTCCCTATTGCTTAAATTCTTTCTCTCTTCACCTCTGACTTCTGGCTTCCATCAATTCTCAGTAAAACCCCACTTTCTATAAGAAGTCTTTCCCAGTCCTCCTTAATCTTTATGCCTTCTGTCTGAGATTATCCTCATTTTAATGTGTATTTATTTGTACATAAATGCTTATACATTTGTTTGAACAAAGTTATCATACATTGTTGTTTACATGTTGTTTCCTCCATTAGGCAGTGAGCTCTTTGAGGGCCAGGATTGTCTTTTGCCTTTCTTCGCATCTCCAGAGTTTAGCATGGTGCCTGCCATCTAGAAAGCACTCAATAAATGCTTGTTGACTGACTGACTGACTTACTGACTGACTAAAGCATCATATCAGGGGGCAAACATATTGCCCTAGGGACTGGAAGAGTTTGAGGGTTAGGCAACCAAGTTCAGAACCCATGCAGCTGATGGGAAAGTGGGGAGGAAAGCTGACACGGATAAGCATTCCAGTGCTGGCAGCTGGGCTTGTGATTTCCACATAGGACTTACTAGCGTTGCTGGTTCTGTACTTAGAAAAGAAAAAAGGGATCTGGAGACCAGCAGAGAATGGTGAAAATGGCCACTAGGGGTCATAGGGAGGCTTTAAATCCCCACGTAGACCGGGTTGGACCTATATTTTACATGTGGGAACCTGAGCTAGTAGACTTATTGATGCAGGCAATGTGACACCTTCCATGATAGGAGAACTGGGCATTGCCTTTTATGCCTATAATGGACTTGAAGGAACAGGGCCAAGAACTGCCTGTACACTCCCACGATTGCTCGGCAATAGCAACAGACCAAGTTCCAAGTCCCAGGAGCAGTGGGACTCTGTGTTAAAGTGGGTGAGGTGGTGGGTGGGAAATAGTAGATCAATATCGGCTGTCTTTGAGGAGGTACGGGGGTACTCTTCCCTGTTTACTTAATTGCTAATGCCTCTGGCTTTACAAGTCCACATGTATTTCTTGTCAATAGGTTTAGCTAACATCCCAGAATGTTTATGTAATGAGAATCACTACATTTTGCCACCTGCACTGTCACATCCACTGAGTGAGATGCCATCATTTTTTCTAATTATTACATATGACTATTTAATTTTATAAATACTTACTGAGGATTAAAAAAACCTCCTCCACTTCAAATGTTCATAAGGACTATTTTGCCTGACCTGAGGTAGAGCATTCCAAGCTCATATGGGTCTGATCGGTCACAGTTTGACACACTGTACCTTGACCCCCACATAGTGATGTCATTTTGGTCCTCTTTGAGCATGAAGGACAACAACTAACCATGGAGGGGGGTGGTGGGGATGGGAAGGGTCAGGGAGTTAGAAGGAGACCTTAGCCAACAAAACCTTTAAATTCAGGAGTAGAGTGGGAGATAGATTTCAGTAATAAGAGAGGATGGGTTCATAGGGAGGGCTTAAGTAAATTTGCAGCAGGGTCCAGTGCTCCATGAGAAAGCAGTAAAGAGAAGCAGCAGGAAGAAAGGTGAGTACAGGACCAGAAATCTCTTCAGCAGGGTTGTAAGCCTTCAGTCCTAAGTAGCATTTGGAGTGAGGCTGTCAGAGCAGTGATGAGATGAAGCATAGAGGGAATGCAGTAGTGTTATACCGTGTGAGTGGAGAGTGTCAGGTTGATTTCGGGGACTCATACAAGGGTGAATGAGGGACTCAGTAAGAAGTTTAGTGCAGTATGAGAGTGAATTATTGCACAGGAGAGGATGACTGAGGCTGTGTGGGAAAATTGGAGCTCTAGCTCTGTGTTTGAGATACTTCACTACTAGCAGGGACCAGGAAAGATATTAAGATTGCATTATTTTTTCTCACAATGAGCTTGAATCATAGGATTTTAAGCTTTTAATATTTTTTATGAAAAAAAAAACTGTCCAGAGGTGGGGTAAAGGGAACATAGGGTGACCAAGGGTAGGAGGGGGAGGGGGTAATGATACCTCACAGCTCAGGAGTTTATGTTCTAAGGTCTTCACCCAACTCTGATATTTCATGTCCTCTGTTCTAAGCCCTCCTCTAGCTTTGATTTTATATAAAGTATGTGCAAAATTTCCTTTCATCTTTCTAACCTCCATTGTTCTTGATCTAGTTCTAACCTTCCATATGACAAAGTTTCTCCCACTTTTAATTTTCTGTGTCCATTGATCTAAGCTCCCTCTCAGATCTGATTGTCTATGTTCTATGTTCTCTCCAAGCTCTGACTTAACTATAGTCTCTTCTAAGGTTCTTCCCAGTTGTGACCTTTTATGATCTATGTGCTAGGCTGCCTCCCAGCTCCAACTTGCTATGTTTTATTATACTCTGGTTATAGCCTTGTGTGCTGCACATCTCTGTCTCTGAAATTACTCATTCCACCCCTTTGCTCTCAGTTTCAGGGGTAGAAGAGCACAGCAAGTACTACTCTCACCATGGAGGCCTGCTCAGATCAGGGTAAAGACTCCTGAGCCTGTGGGTTGGCTTGGACCCTGCCGAGCCATGCATAAGCCACAAACAGTACCAGCCTCAATGACTCTTTAACTTCCTTCACTACCACGAATCCAAAATCCCAGAAAGATAAACAAGCTGTGGCTTAACATCCCCTTGGAGTATTGGCTTTTTGCTGCAGTTGACAGGACACTTTCCCCCAGCATAGCTCTCCTTCAGTCACTGCTCTAACTCTTTGGGTCCCTATCACTTCTTGTGCAGAATATTTTAGTAAGCTTTCTCATGCCCAGTCTCCTGATCTCCAGCCTCTTTGTCTCTTCCCCATTCTATGTCGTCCTCCCAATGCTTAGCTGTGATCATGTCCCTCCCTTGTTCAAACAACTTTCATGGTTCCTTACTGCTGAGTCATAAGTGGTCATAACTAGCTGGGGCACATCCAAATTGTCTTTTTCAATAAGTGTGTTTGGGGGAAGGGTGTGAGGGAGAGAAATTAAATTTTGCTAATTAAAAACAAAGTTAAATTAGTTAAATTAAGTTGTAAAAATTTAAAAGTAATTAAATTAAAAATAATTAATTTGCCAATTAGAAATAAAATTAATTTTGAAAAGATTTATTCTGCATTGCTAAACTCTTTTGAAAGCTCTAGAGGGCAGAATAAAATAAGATTCAAAGGTTTTTCCTATCTTGAAGTTGGACCAACAGGAGAAGGAATCTCTGTCCAAGTAGGTTAAAGTTAGAGCAATGTTATCATCACCCTGCAGATAAGTCTGTAACGACTATTGAGATAGAAGGTCCCTAAGAATGTCAGAACCTAAAGGAGCCTTAGATGATAGAATGTAGAATGTCCATTTGGGAAAGAACCTTTGAGATCATCTCTTCTAACAGCTTCATTTAATGGATAAAGAAACATTGCAAATTTTTTTTTTTTGTAAAATTTACCCCTCTGAATAATGAGGGGTTTGGATGAAATTCTCTCTGAGGTTTCTCCCATTTCAAAAGCCTCTGACACAATAAAACTAATACCCAGAGTGAGAAGGTCAATCACCCAGGGTCCCACATTGAGTCAGTGGCACAGCCAGGACTAGAATCCAAAATGATGTGTAAATACTGAAAGGGTTATAAAGAAGGGCTGCTCAGACCCTGTTCTTTAGAAAGACTGGGAATGTTCCCAAACAGCTACAATGCAAACTAGGATGAGTGGTACAGATGGTAAGTATCCTAGATCTTTTGCAGAAGGAGTATTTCCTGACTTGATGAGGCAAACGGTTGGTAACTTTTATCATAATTATTTTTTGCAAGATTTTTTTCTGTGGCCTGATGAGGCCAGCCCAGATCAGTGGTCTCCTGCTGAGACCTATGTGGTTTGCTTTTCTTTTCTGGCAATTGAGAGGAAGGTCCTGAAAAAACCTCAAGTGGCCTCCTATTGTCTCCTCAATGTCCCTTCTTTTCCTGCTGAAAGAGAAGGATGCTACCTTTCCCTGGATCTATGATTAATCCAGAAGAGATGCTCCCCTTGGAGAGGCCCGTCAGGGAGCCTTAGGGCATGAGAAATGGGGGTGTGCCACTTTAGCCAAAGATGGGGACCCCTGGTGTTTTTCCTTTAGTAGGAGTCTTTTCTCTGTAGGCAGTCTCAATTTTTGATGAGCCACCTATTACCAATTTTAAAAGTTGAAACCTGTAAGAAGAAGAAGGGTAATTTAGCAGAAACAGCACTGCACCAGTCAGTCAATAAACATTTATTAAGCACCAACTATGTTCCAGGCATGGTACCAGGTGATGGAGAGACAAAGAAGGTAAAAAAAAGTTCCTTTTCTCAAGGAGCTCACAGGCTGGTGAGGGAGACAACATGCAAACTACTATATAAATACAAGATACATGTACAGGATAAATTGGAGCTAATCAATGTAGGGAAGGCAGTAGCATGGAGGGGATGGAAAGTCTTCCTGAGGAAGGCAGGATTTTGTTGGTGTTCATCCTTTGTTCTCAACAAGGACCAATGAAATCAGGAGGGTGAGGTCTTGACTTGCAAGTGAATTGGACTTAAGTGAGGCAGAGCTGTGCAGAGTCATCAGCCTCACTCTCTCCTCCAGAGTCATAGGAGTCCAGTGGCAAGACATAGGTCAGGATGAGTGGTGATGGCCCCCAAGGTAGGATCTTAGGTGAGACTTGAAGGAAGCCAGGGAAACCAGGAGATAGAGATGGGGAGGGAGAGCATTCCAGGCATGGGGAATAAACTGAGAAAATCCCCAGACTTGGGAAAGGGCAAGTCTTGTGTGAGGAACAGCAAGGAGGCTGGTGTCATTGGATTGTAGCTAAACGGGGGTGAGTAAGGTATTAGAATATGGGAAAGGTACAAAGAGCTTTGACCTAAGAATCTTTGAACTAAGAACCTTTCTGCCACTTACTATTTGTGGGACTAGACAAGTCACTTCCCTTTCAGGACCTTAGTCTCCTTAACTATAAAATGGGAAAATAACCTTGCATTAACCAACCTCAATGGGGTTATTGTGAAGAAAGTGCTTGGAAAAACTTAACGAGGGTTGCTATTTTAACAGAATTTTTTTAAATTTAAACTCATTACAGTAAATTTAATTTAATTCAATTTGTTAAATATTTGTGGAGCACAGTAGGGATCCTGATGATCAGTGGGAACAGTGTAGGACCCCTAGGTATTAAAGTGGATAGAAAATTTGACATAGAGTTGAGTTCAAATCTTGATTCAGACACTTAACTATTTGACCATGGGCAGATCACTTAGCCTTTATTTGCCTTGGTTGCCTCATCTGTGAAATGGAGATGATTAACTATCTCCCTGGGTTGCTGTGAGGATCAAATGGGATATTTGCAAAGCATTTTGTAAACCTTAAAACACTATGTAAATGCTATTATTATTATTATTATTATCTCAGCACATGGAGCTGATAAGGTTGTCACTTTTCTGGATGAAAAGAGAGTCTGTGTGTGTATGTACCCATTTATGTGTCAGGGAATGAGGAGAAGCTGATAGGAGCAAGAGCCTGACAGCCTGGCTCAGTTAGTCTCCATAGACTTAACAATGAGCAAGGGTAGGGCTTTGAGGTGTCTACAGTTCCTTATAGCCCTAACACTTCATGCCCTATATTCAAAGAGTCCTGCCAATTGCTTGTTTTTTGTTCCATGCCCTGATTCTGTCCTCCTACAAAGGATTCTTATTTGCTTTGCCAAAGCAGAAGTGTAAACCTGGAGTCATTCTCAAAGCCCAAGGATTGGAGTTTGGAGGTGGAACAGAGAGAGAGTAGCAGCATGAGGAATCCAAGTGCCACATCTACAAGAGGCATCAGGGGAAGGGAGAGGCCTGTGGGTCTAGCCCCTGGAGCCTTCATGTCCCCTAAAATTGGTCACACCCATGTCCTAATCATAGAATCACTGGGATTAGTGCTGTGGAAAGAACACTGGATTTGGAACCCAAGAATCCAGACTCAAATCTTGGCTTTGCCTTTTACCACCTGTGTGACCTCAGTCAAGTCAGTAAATCTTCTTGGACTTCAGTTTCTTTATCTGTAAAATGAAGTGTTTGGACTATCCAAGGTTTTTTAACCTTTTTTGTGTGTGTGTCCTAGACTTTTTTTTTTTACAATCTGGTGAAACCTATGGACCTCTTCTCAGAGTAATGTTTTCAAATGCATAAAAGAAAATATATAGGATTACAAAGGAAACAATTTATATTAAAATTTATCTATTTCTATATATAATTTCTCTTTCTGTCTCTCTGTCTCTGTCTCTCTCTCTGTCTATTTCTCTGCATGTCTGTCTGTCCATCTATCTGTCTACCTATCTAGTTTACCGACCCCAGCTAAAGAACTTCTTTACTAGATAGTATCTAAGTTTCTTTCCAGCTCTGAATCTATGAACTCACAACCCCCCCCATTATACAGATGGAGAAATTAAGCCAACCTCTCCATTTCCCCCCATCCAGGTATATTTCCCTTTCAGCTTGAAATGTGACATCTATCTCAGCTCTCTCACATAATGTTCTATTGTTCTCTTCATGTGAGGGGAAACAAGAATTAAACAAAAACACCTCTGAACATATCAGTCATTTTCAATATAAGATCCTTTCTCCATGGTTCAAGGACTTCTAGGTTTGTAGGATGAGCTGGCACTTGGAGTCTTGTAGGTTTCATCTGACTAGTGGGCTGGCTTTCTCACATATGTTGTTGAGATGGGGGAAAAATTCCTCTTTCATTCCAATATAGATTCTTCATGTATAGGACTTTGTAGCCCATATTTCATATATGCTTCCTCCCCTGACCCAGACATCCAATCTATTTAGTCAATTCAACCCCATGATTAATTAATTCAATTACTGAAAAATTCATTAAAGTAAATTATTTGGGTGGATTGCCAATGGCCTATTTGAATTGGCCTGTGATCTGGCCAGTGGTCTCTTTGAATTGAGCAACCAGAACTTGAATTGTTGGCCAATCATTTGGCTGGGTTGACCAACTGGATTGATCAGTGATCTGACTAGATTGGCTTCTAGTTTGGCTGGACCGTTCATCACTCTGGCTGGACTGGACAATGATATGGTTGGATTAATTCATCTATGCCAGAGCTCAAATGCTTAATGAATGGTCTAGGTGGATTGGTTAGTGCTTTGATTTAATTGAATAGCATTGACCAACCAGGTTTAATTGTTCAGCATAGACACATTGCTCTCTGGTATGATTAAACTGAGCAGAGGATCTGTGGGGTTGATCTACCTACAGTTTGGCTGGATTGACCCATCTGGTCTGGATGAATTACTCAGGAATCTAGTTAGATTTTTATAGTCTAGTTGAACTTGATCAATGTTCTGTCCAGATTGACTTATGGTTTGTCTGGATGGATTAATCCACATGTGGTCTGTTTATATGGTGGGCTGGTTGGATCTTAGCCAGCCTCATCTCTGTTAGAGGGAGGCACATCCTAGTTTCGTGAATTGTGGCTCTCCCTATTGTTTTGATCTGAGAACCTGGGCCACCATATCTTACCATGAACTGGTAAGGAAATACTTCTATCATAGAGATGTGATGTCACCAATTAGGTGATAGGGGAATGTGTATGGAACAATTGTTTCTTAATTATTTCTGGAGAAGAGAGAGTCCTATGATACCCAAGTTAGAGACAGCTGCTCAGAAGATTGGCATTTGCCTAGAGCAGAAGTGTCAAACTTGCAGCCCTGAAAGCAGCTGCAAAACTCCTGAGCATTTCCCAAAACAGATTAAAATATAATTGGGAAATTTTTAACAAAATGAAAATGTAATGCAGCATAGATAATGGTAATTTGTAGTTTTCT